GTCACAGACAGGCCAAATCTAAGTTCTCCCCTTACACACAATAGCTCTGTGCTGAGCAGAGAGCTACTCAGTCCAGACACCCAAATGCTTCGCTCTATAAATCACTCCTACTGGCCCCTGGAAACTCCAGTGAGGGTTCATAGAGGTTGAGTGCAGAAATGCCCTGTCTATTCCCAGATGAGATGAACTGCACAACCAACCTCAGATCTCTCCCAAGCTGCACTCCACACTTCTCCAGTGTTCCATCCTCAAAAGGTATGACTACTTCTTCACCTCCAGAAGCTGCTCTTTGTCTTGGAAACATTAGCAAATTTGATGTCAACCTGAAAGTACTCTGGAATGAGGCCTGTTGTGGTCAGGAACCCCATAGTCACCATTTTTACTGGAGAAAGAGGAGCTTATGAATCAGTATGGCCCCAGGTAACATAACGGCAAGGCAGGGGCGGAAGTTTATGGTTCCGAGGAGACAATACGTGCATGAGTGAATCTGGACAACACCATGTGAAGTAGAAGCTGTCCATAGCATTGGATCACCTTTAGAATTGTGAACAAATAAGTAGTTGTCATTTGAATCACTGATCTGGGCGGGTAGGAGAGTGGGGATTTTGTTTCATAGTAATAACAAATTTAAACAGTGGCAATAAGGGCCCTGCTTGACGAATATTCACTTTCTAGCTTCCTTGATTCTTTCCAAAATTAATTAAAAAAATACAAAATCTTGACTTCTGATTCAGAGGTCAGTGACTAGAAAAGGGCTTGACTGTCAGCCTCCTAGGAGCTGTTTCACGAATAGGGCAGGATGAGGCAATTGCCAAGGACTCTTCCAACTCTAAGGTTCTGACCTTTTGTTGCATTTGTTTCTAGTCATAAACTTTCATGCCAACATTGCTTCAAAATCATATAGGTTTTGACTCTCCCTTTATTTCTAATATCATTCATTTTCATTGGAATCTGACCCTCATATCTATACTGACATATGAATGCTTCTCTTCTGTCCTTCAAAATCAGCAAATTCCTATTTCAGTAAGATACTGCAGTTTTTCTGTCTCATTTGACTTTGAGGCTGACCCTGGAGGTGCTTAGAACTTAATTCTGGCCCTAAGGGTCTCATTTCTGGAAGTGCTTCGTGGACCATATGTGGTGCTCAGGGGGATTGAATCCAAGTCAGCTATGTGTAAGGTGAACATCCTGTCCACTGCACTATTTCTCTGATACCAAAAGTTTTTAATTAATTCATGAAATCAATTAAAATGAAAAATTCAATAAGCCATGAGGTGGAAGAATATTTTATAAATTATATTCATCCCAGGCTGGAGTGATAGCACAGAGTGTAGAGTGTTTGCCTTGCACTTGGTTGACCTGGGTTCAATTCCTCCATCCCTCTCAGAGAGCCCGGCTAGTTATCGAGAGTATCCCTCCTACAAGGCAGAGCCTGGCAAGCTCTCCATGGTGTACTCGATAGGCCAAAAACAGTAACGAGTCTCACAATGGAGACTTCACTGGTGCCCGCTTGAGCAAATCAATGAACAATGAGAGAACAGTGCCATATTCATCCCATCACTTCAAAATTATCTACCATCCTTCATATTTAATATGAGTTTGATACTAAATTCATATTAATATTTTAGGTTAAACATTTGCTTATTTGTTTCAAAGAAAGTTCCTGAATGATTGCTCTCAGACCTTCAGACACTAGTATAGCACCAAATGAACATTTTTAAATCTGCTCCCTTACTTTAAAGCTTTTGAGTTCAAGAGGTATGGAGGAATATTTCCTGGTTGAAAAACTCATAAATCTGTGTTTCCTCTCATCTAGTCACTTATCTCTAGGCATCTAACAACTTCTACTGAAAGCTCCCTAGAAGCTTGACAGCTTCTGGGTGTGAGATTGACAGTTATTCACACACATGAAGTGGCCTCACTGACCCCTCTAAGCTCTGAAGGTGCTGTAATCTCTTCAGAGAGATAAGCACCATTGAGGCGCTTTCCCAATTTTCAAGAGACTGGACAATTTCTATCTCTATCCAATAGGTGAAAATACCTCATGCACTTTCTTACTTCAATGCCACATCACAGCGTAACTGTCACAGTAACATTCCAGGCAACAACTGGGATCCACTATAAAGAGAAACACTTAGTGTGCCCAGATTCCTTCCCTGAGATGCCACATCTGCTGGAAGCTGGCAATAACCCTCTCTTCATTTGCAATTCTTGGAAAGCTTGTTTGCTTGTTTTGCAGTGAAGTGTAAGGCCCTTTCAGAATGTAGAAACATTAACAAATGTGCACATGCAGGTGAGAGACAGAAACAAAAATGATAGAAAAAATTTGAGTATTGAAGCCAAGTGGGTGCATTGAGAAATAACAATGATAACAATCCCCTCTACCATATAAGTTCTTTCTTATCTTTTAAACTACTCTCTTCAAAGACATCAGGTTGGGGTTTTTGTTTGTTTGTTTGTTTGTTTGTTTACCCCATTATCAAACAGTTTTGGTTTTTGGAAAATTTTGTTTGTTTTAATAAGTTGTGTGAGTGTAACATTCAGTGATCTAAGTTTGTACACCAATAAAATCATTTAGATGTTCATTCCACAACAGAAGAAACTGAAAATATTTAAATGCTAAACTGAGTAAGGAATATTATAAAAACCAAGACTTGGAGGCTTGTAGAAAAGTCAGGCTTGCCTCTTCTTATCATCTACAAACTATATACTGTTCAACATAGCACCTGAATATGAGCTAGGAAATAAAATTCCCAAGTCCAGGCTTATAAAGTTTTAAAGTACCAAAGACATGGAGGATGACAATCTACAGCATTCAATAGAGAAAGAAAGGGCCTATTTCTGGTTTGAGTTCATTATTTTAACAATAGTTTTTACAATAATTTCATAATTAACTTCTGCACCCCTCATGATTGGATAAGACACTCCAGTCAAACAGGAGTGTTTAATGTTTCAGCTAATAAAATGCCTCCCAGCCTGGTAGCACTGTAGCACCATCCTCCCATTGTTCATTGATTTGCTCGAGTGGGCCCCAGTAATGTCTCCATTGTGAGACTTGTTGTTACTGTTTTTGGCATATCAAATATGTCACGGGGAGCTTGCCAGGCTGTGTCTTGTGGGTGAGATACTCTCGGTAGCTTGCTGGGCTCTCTCTGAGGGGTATGGAGGAATCAAACCTGGTCAGACTCGTGTAAGGCAAATGCCATACTCGCTGTGTTATAGCTCCAGCCCTCCCAGCCTGGTATCTTTAAAAAAAATTCAATTAAGAAGAAACAGAATGAGAAAGAGAGGAGAGGAGAGGAAAGGAGAGGAGAGAGGAGAGAGAGAGAAAGAGGAGAGAGAGAGAGAGAAAGAGGAGAGAGAGGGAGAGAGAGAGAGAATGGAGTATGGTTTGCTTCACATATGGCCAACTTGTGTTTTGTCTCCTGCACTGCTTATGGTACCATGAGCCCCGCCAGGAGTGATTCCTGAGCAGAGTCAGGAGTAAGCCCTAAGTACCCCCCCAGGTGTGCCCCCCCCAAACAGAAATAAACAAAGCAGTGTTCTAGAAACAAGGGTAAGTCATAGCTTCAACACAGCCTGGTGTCTCCTGACAAAATGAAAACTGCCAGGGCTAATCCCAAGTCTAGAGAAGTCAAGTGTGCTGATTTAGAGGCAGTGAACTGAGTTTTGAGCTATGCCTACTAACTCCTTAGAAACCAAATCTCATTGAGCCTTAAAAAAAAATCAAACAAACATTAACATCTGCACCTCATAAAGGGAAATGAAGAAGCTCCACCTCAAATAATTCTAGTGAGATCTGCTGAACTCAGTGCTTCAGATGAGAGAGTTATTCATTCTGGACAGGAGCTGCGATTAGTAAGCGACCTTCCTCAGACAAACTGGCATTTCCCTCCCATCTGGGAAGCTCTTCTGGACAGAAATAATGTCCAATGTCCTTTTCTGAGAGTTCCACGCTATAGCCGTGCCTCCCAGGGAGCCAGAGGTAAAAACTCTGGTCATGCTTTTTTGCCATGCCACAGAGGTGGAACTGAAAATGGAAACCTGGTGGAGGAAGAAGCCCGTGTAGTACTGGTTTCCTCACCTGCTGGTCCCGGCTTTGACTCCTTACAGTGTGCTCTGGCTTTCTAACATAGTGTTAATTTTGAGCTGCTGATGTTCTACAGAATCCAAGTCCCTGCAAAGCACATGTCACACCTGCAAAAGGAACAGGGACAGAGAGCTGCTATTCTGCTACTTCCAACTCCTGCCCTTTGGAGAGATCCCTTGGAGGACAGCGGCCTTTTCCAGGGACAGGCTCGATCTCCCGGCGGGAGAGAGGGTTTCACCTAGAGGTGGGTTTTGGGGTCCTAATCTGCTCTGACCACCAGGGCTGCAGCCTGGGTGGGAATGGTCGGGCGACCTGGTCTGTGGCGGCGGGGGGGTGGAGGGGAGAGGTGGACTGCAATTAATTTCTATTTTTCTACATTACCTTTGACTCTCTGGCATACTTAGCCTTTCCTTTACATTTCTTCCTCCAGAAGATCTAAATTTAAAACAGCACCCCTCCCCCCCCCCCCCTTCGAAAAGCAGGCTAATCCCGGAGCTGGCCTCCGGCACGCCGGCTCCCGCCGCCCCCTCTTCCAGAGGACTCCTCCCCCGCCGCCACCCGGACCCGGACCCTCCGAGCCCAGAGTTTCCTCCCCGCTCCAGTGGTACCGCGCAGCCTGGGCCAGGGTCCCGGAGCCGGGGCCCTGGCGGGGCTGCTCCTGCGGCCAGCAGGTGAGGACCGGAGGGGTGCCCGGCCAGGCGTGCATCTCTCGGACCTCGGACCGCGCCGGGCCCGGGAGGCCTCTAGGACCGAGGGGAGCCTCGCTCCCGCCAGCCGCGCCCCCGGCCCGGTCCCCGGGCCGCCCCCAGTGCGTCCTCGCGGGCTCGGGGAACACTCAGCCTCGGCGGATGCCCGAGGCCAGGGCGAAGTTGGCCGCCGTCCATCCGCGCCGCCCGCGCTCGCGCCGCGCCCCCCGCCCGCCCCCGGACCGCGCGGCCGCCACCTCGGGCGCGCCCGGGAGTCTCCGCGCCCCCAGCGCCGGGCTCTGGCGCCCGCGGTCACCTTGTCCCGGAGGTGAGTGGGGCGCGGGCGGCTAGCGGAGGGGGCACCCTGCGCGCGGGCAGATCGGCGGGAGCGCGCCCGGGTCCCCGGGACCCCCGGAGACGCCCAGTGAAAGCCCGGCGGGGCCGGGGCGGGGGGACAGGACCCTCGGGGACCGCGGGGGACCGCCGCGGGGTTCGGGGACTCCCCTGCGGCCGGCTTCCCGCAAGCCTGGCACGGAGAGGGGCGCACGGCGCGCTACGGGGCCTCGAGGTGCAGCCCAGGTTTCGTGCGCCCCCCCGGCAGCCGCGACGCAGGCACGGAGCGCGGCGGAGTTGGGCACTTTTCTGGGGGCTCGGTGTCTGGGTCGCTGCCCCTTCACTTCAAGACTACGACCCACCCGGGGATCGGGCGCCCGCGGCCGGGTGTGGGCAGCTGATCGGCGGGACCGCCGGGTGCTGCGGGCAGTCTAGGAGTGGCTGCGCCCTGGGATCCTCAGTTTCCCTGTGGGTCCCTGGAACGCTTGGGCGCCCCGCGCCAGGACGGCCAGTGAGCGCATCCCTCTGCTGTGTCGGAGGCTCTGGCGCCGCCAGCCTCCCGGTCCAAACTCACTGTCTGCTCCTTCCCTGGACACTGCCGCCTGTTCCATGCACTGCACACTTGACTGAGCTCTGCTGACTTGGGGGCGGGTGGGGAGCTCAGTCTCCTAATCGGAACCAGGCTTGTGTCCCTGTGGGTCCCGCTCCCCGCGCCGCGCATGGGGGTGAGCCCGGGAGAGGCGCGGACCTGCGGCACCGGGCAGCGCCAGTCCCCGGGCTGAGCCAACTTCTCCTTGCTGGCTGGGCGACTGCCCAGCGCTGTGCGGGGACTGGGCTTGCACCAGGGGTAAGAAGCCCCGCTGTCTTCGAGGCGGCCCGGCTGGAGAGGAGCTGCCCCAGGGCGGGCCGCAGTCTGACTTTTCCCGGCTAGGTCGGGGCGCAGCAGCGGGGGCAGCATTTTCGGATGAGTTCTGGCAGGTTGCGTATCCCACTGTTCCATGGAACGTTGTCTGGGACAGCCTGGCCACAGGTGCTGGGCCTGTGTGCTGTGGGAGAGAAGCCCCCATGTTCTCAGCTGCTGGGTGGTCGCGTCTCTGCACTCTCCCGTCCCGCCCCCACCTGCTGCAGAATCTGGAAAACTGGTCTAGGGGCCGTGTTAAATCCGAAGAGACCTTGGAGATTGGTTGGAGTTGGTTTGGTTTGATTTTTAATGGACAATGCTGTGAAGTTGTACACAGAAATAGAGGGGCATGCGCCGAAACTCCTGCATGCCTGAACGGTCACCACACTCACGCCCCTTGACTGCCCTTCCTCAAAGCTGCCAGGCCTCCTACGAAGAAGGGTCTGAAAATCCATCCCAAGCTCTCTTTGGCCTTGTGTGTCCTCATGTATCTCCGGAGATGACATCTTGTTTCCGCCTCACCTACTCATCACTATAAGGCAGTCATTTGACTGACTTGTTCATTAGGAACAACGGTGATATTCAAATAAAAGTCAAGGTACCTTCCCAATTCCATTTGGGTGATAGAAAAGAAAAGCTTAATGTCCCTTGCAGCATGAAGTGGGGAGAGAATGGGGGAAAGAGAAAAGAGACATTGTGAGACATTCTGAGAAAAGAGACAATGGAAAATAGTGAATTCCATTTATACAAACTGATAGGCTTGGAAAGAAACAAGGGGCCAGATGAAGTATGATAAACTTTTATTTGATGAAAACTTTTAAAGGTCAGTTCACATATCATAAGCCATTCTCCCCTTCCACGTTTAACATTGAAAAATTAAAAGTGCTCTGCTGGACTGGATTCATCTTTCTCATTAACTTTAAGTTATAGTGTCATGGGAGTTATTACTGCTGTTAAAAAAAGTAAAATGATATTTTCTTACGTAAGTCTTCTATCAGAGACACTAGTCGGTGCTATTTTGAGGCTCATGGAGAGTACTGAATATTTTATCTATCAATTAGGAAGTGTTTGGTCATCAGACTGGTCACTTCTCACATGCCCTCAGGAGAGCCGCTGCTGAGTCTGTTTCACCCCAGCCTGGGTTTTGTTGACCAGAAAGAATAGACCGGGGAAGGCCTGGGGGATCATGGTAGGGTGATCTCCAAACCACCACACGCTTCCTCCCACCCAACATATCTTTTTGACTTCCTTTATGTAATATAAAAGCTGTTTCTAAAAATTGTCAATGACGTTCTAAAAGATTTAATCAGACTTTTGAAACCCTTTATAAGATGCAGTATTTAAAGGCATCCTTAGTTAACCTTTTGTAATAGGAAGAATCATCCTGTAAGTGAGCAGTTTTATAGTTTTATAGCAGTGTTATAGCAGTTCTGCACTTGCCTTTCCATAACACCAGTGTTCCTCAGATCTCTTCACCTAAGCTTCTGCAATATCCATGCGCATCAGACTTTCATATGGCTAGCATGGACTGGTTACAGTACTTTACCTAGAACTTGAACTTTCTATTATCAGTAAAATTCATTGGATGAGTGGATAAAAGTGTGGTGAGACTTGAAGTACAGTATGTTCATTTGTCAGCATCAGCAGAGTACTGTGGTTTGAGTAGATAATAGCTTTCTCAATGGGAAGTTTGTTCAGTGGGCTATTTTGCCCAAATGCACTGACAGCTCAGTGCTATGGCTTTTGACACAGTAATACTATTCTGTAGGCACTGTGCCAACGTATTCAAAGAAGAAAATAAAAGCAAAAATATTCTGAACTTTAAAAGTACGTGAACTGGATATCTGCACAGGTAACCAGCATTACAAAAATGAAGGTAATAGTAAGTGATTAAATAGACAGTTTTTAAAATTGTCTAGTTTTTAAAATTGTCTATGCACTGTGCTTAGACATTTCAGATTATTCCTGCTAAAAACACATAAATGATGTGTTTTTAAAAAGAGCTGCAATTACTATCAAAGTCTAAAACAGACTATCCATTACAATTCAATAGCCATTTTTTTGTTTTGTTTTGTTTTGTTTAGGGAAACAACACAGGATGATGTATATATAGAGATAGATAGATAGATAGATAGATAGATATACTAATACTTCCTGGTCCCTACTAGCTGTCTTATTTGTTATTTTTTTAGTGTCAGGTAATGTTCTGGGTCTAATGAAAGGAGTCTGCAGGGGCTAGAGAGATAGGAGCGTAGGCGGTGCCCTTCCCTAGCATGTTTAATTCTCAGCACCTAGTAAGGTCCCTTGCACCCTGCCAGGAGTAATAACTGAGTACAAAGCCATGAGAAGCCCTGAGCACCACAGAGTGCGGGGTATGGCCCAAAGCAAAAAAATTGGAAAAGCAAAATAAAATCAGGAACTATGCAGTCTCTATTGTTTCCAATATGTGGCTGCCTTGCCCCACAGTACTTGCTAGAGTTCTTGTGGGAAGTCTTAGGTCTCAAACTCTGGGCTCTGTTGCTTGTTGGTTGAATTCCCAGAGGAAAATATCACTGAATTTTTTCATAATTCTCTTTACTTGTACTTCCCAGTACTCTGTACACACAGCACAAGGGTGGGAGATATTGTAGGCTTCCCATGCTTGCCCAGATTCCAGTCTGAGCACTGTGTAGTCTCCTGACCACTGACCACCCAGGTGTAGCTACAAAACACTGGAAAAGTTTAAAAACAGTGCTGCTAGTTGTTCCAGTATTTTAGATGAAAAAACCCTCCTTATTGAGAATAAGTAAGAATCTTAACTGAGTGTCCCTTTGGGTCAACCTTGTGTTTCTATGGCGGTCTGGACACATAGACGTGTATCTGACAACTTCTTGTTGGCAAGAAACAGAGAAAAATAATGTGCACAATTATTACAGTCTGATTCTCAAGTAGGGATGTGCATCAAAAATGTTTTTATTTAAAAAATGTGCGGAAGGTGAAAGAGGCATTAAAGATATAGGAAAGGATTTTCAAATATCTCTTTAACACTACTAATTTTAGGCAGATACCTCATTAAAAGTTATAGGGGACATGTTCTCTAGAATAAGACATTTTAAGAAAGATTATTAATAAATCCCAAAGTGTCATTTCTACTAAGTGATTATTTGTTATAAACTTCGTTTGGAAACAAAATTAAAGTCCTCTTAAATCATTTGATGTTAAATGATTCACTAAATTGCAAAAAAAAATACAGTTAAATAAATTATTAAAACAATAGCAACACATAAGTATTGGGATCTGAGTTAAATGGCTCTTGTTTTCTGATAAAACTAAGAATAACATAGCTAAGAAACAAAACACTTATATAGAAATGATGAAAATACAAATTGTGTCCAAAAGTACTTTAGATTAACCTAGAGGTCAATTTTGCACATTTGATTTCATAAGAATAATTTATCTAAGAATGTAATAAACATTTTTCAAAGGAATGGAAATTTTGTACTCATGCAGCAAATTGGTTTTCAGTGTGAAAATACATTTAGTTTCCAGTTTTTCCTTTCCAGTCCATATTTATGTCATCTTAAACTCACAGTCATTTAAAAAATTTAAGTCCTCAGAATGTGATAGTGGCAGTTACAGAGTGTGACTCCAAGTGAGAAAGGACATAGGTATTTATTAATTGAAAATGTTTCCTTTAATAAAGGGCTTGATTAGTTTAACCTAGTATTTTTTTTAAAGTATGGCTCCTCAAAACAATTTTGTTTGTTATGTATTTTCTGACCGCATTGGTAAGCCACTTTCAAATGTGCTGCCATCTGTTCCTTCCTTAAACTTTTCTTTCTCCTATAGAGACCCAGGGTCCAAAACAAAAGTAAATAAATAATTTAGACCATTAGAAACACACGGTTTTTGTCGTTGTTGTTGTTTTAGTTGTTACTTCAGCTATAAACTACTTTTGAAAACACTTGCTGCTCCCTGATTTTTTGTTTGTTCTTGAGCCACAACCTGTTGTACTCAGGGCTACTCCTGGCTCCGTACTCAAGGATCACTCCTGCTGGGGTGCCAGGTGACCATATGTAGTGCTGGGCGTAGAACCTGGGTAAGCTGCACTGAAG